CTAAATTTATTAGCTACTGATAAAATGTGTGATTTCCACGTTGAATGTGCATGTCGGAGATCTCATTAGTCAGTTTATTTTAAGCTGTGTATTATATGACTTGAGACAAATATTTGGCATAAACACACAAAGTAAGAAAATAAATATTTTAATTAGGATCTAGTTAAATAGCATATATCCATGATTAAGCCACACTTACCACTCACTGAAACAGTGTCAATTAATATGACTTTGTTAAAATATTAAGACTTATCTTCATCTTCCTATTTATCTTTGCTCTGCAAGCAACTACCTTGCCTTGCAATCTCTGGACCAGCCGTCCACGCCTTCTACTAGCTGTATTTTTCTTGCTGCCTCATTCTTTTTTTTTTTTTCCCCTGCTTCTGACATTGGAGACTGCATGAGTCTGCTTTGTCTTGCAAAGTGCATCGCAAGTAATATTGCATTAGTAACGTGTAATGTCTGAGAATTTCTATGCTTTGCTGCCAGAATGTAGGCAAGGTTCGTACGCTCTGGAAAAACCTGCTTAGAAAAGGTTACGGGAGTGGTAGTCCAAGCTTTGCATTAGAGAGGGGATCCTGTTCACTGTCAGAGTGGTTTTGTTCATGCATGCCTTTTAGCCAGTGATGGGGATCGATGGGTCTAATTCCACAGAGTTTATTCCAGAATGGGGCTACAACCCTACAGCCTGGAAAACAAATTGCAATGTGGATGGATTTTTATGTTATCTCTGTAACAGTCTGTTGCAGGGGAAGGAACACATAACATTTCTGTTCTACAATGGTAATGATATATGTGGAAATATTTTATCCAAAACCCAATCTACAGTACTTGGATAGTTAACATGTCTGGTTGCTAGCAGAAAGATTTTAAAGTACAGACTTTTGGTCAGTGTAGAATAAGTTAAATTGTATTTCCCTCATATTTTGTTACTGATTTGTTCACAAATTACCTTTTCAAATATGTTTGAAAGACTAGAATAATTCACAGCTCGTTTAGTCTACAGTAAAGTTCTAATGAGTCTCTTGATAGGCTTGATTCTGGATAGTTAAATTGATTTCTGTGTTTGGACTTGGGACTTGTTGTACACTGAACAACGTGTGGAAGTTCTTGTCCTCTCTTGCTACTAACTTTACAGCTGAAGACCCTACACACTGCTTGCTTTTAGCTTTGTCACTTATTGCGTCTACAGGAAAGCAAACAAGACAAGACCAAGTAAATGATGGATATCTTCTCACATGAGAATATCATTTTATGTTGCTTTGTGACTGTAGGCCACCAACATGGTGCATTAAACAAGGATTAATGCACTGAATACAAATGTTTTTAGCATCACTATGTATTGCATTTCTGCTCAGTCTAAAGGGGAGTAAATTTAACATCAAACTAATTTCGTGGCAAAGATTTTCATGATGCTTTTACAGTTTGGGGGGGATGAGGACAAACATAATAGGAAATGTTAATAAGAAATTCTGACCTTATTTTTCTGATAGTGTACTGCACCCCCGTTTGTTTAATGTGTTCATTATACAATGAACACATTTATTACATTTATAATGTAATATATTACATTTATTACAGATCAGTTCCTCTGAATTCTTTTTGGTTCTGGTTCTATATTCCTTCTAAGTTTTATTAGGCTTTTTTCTAACAACTTCATAACATCTAAATTGTCAGTCAGCCCATTAGTCATTAGAAGCAGCTTTCTAGTTTGTTGTGCCGCTTTAGCATATTGAGGCAAATCGTTTCTGCAAGAGAAAATGAAAACATCAATAGAGAAAACACAGAATGTTATGATACCTTGTTAAAGAAATGTTTGTCCTCATTATTATTTTGTTTTGTATTTTCTTAGTCATTCCATTTGCCTTAGAGAGGAAAAGCCCATATACAATTGTCTGGTTCAGTCAAATCCATTTTTAAAGAAAAGACTTAAAACTGCTCTAAAACTTCAACAAAGACCATTGATAAAATGAAGTGGAAGTGTATTCCTCTCTCTCCCTCTTTTTCCTCTTCTTTCCTTTTTTTTTTTTTTAAATACTTTTACCATATATTTTGAAAGGTTCCTCGGCAAATGCAAATATAATCATATATAATAATGTGCCAGATTCGCCAGGTTCTATCATCAGCATGATATGTCTTAAATCCTCCTGAACGTAACCTCCAAAATTTTTCTGTAGAAGACAAAATATTATCCTGTGGATTACATCTATCTATTGAAAGCTTACACGTTCAATTCTTGGCTATTATCTGAGCTCAGCAAAACAATAATCTTCACTTGGGTGTGAAAAAGAGAAAGGTGCTGGCTTTTGCCAGCTGTATTTTTTGAGCTGCAGGGATAGCAGGAGACTCAGAATTGCAAGAGGTCATTGACTTGAAGATGTTGCAGCCCTTTGGAGATCAAAAATAGCAGACTTATACCAGATATTTTAATTAAAGATTTTGGAGTAGGACAATTTAAACTTCTCAACCTAAAAGTCTTGAGAAAACCTTAGACAAAAAAATACATATCCTGACTTCTTTAAGAAAATCAATCGTCCTGAACAGCATAGCACAACTGCTTATCTGTAACAGGATCATTAAGAACTGGGAACAAAAGCAGCCCTCTAGCTTGCCATTTTGGATTTTGAAAGAAAAGAAAGTGCAGGATAGAGCTAAGCAGTGAAGTCTTCATATTCTGGAGAAGTCAGCTAAAATTGAAAATAAAACTCCTACGTTGCTATGATCCTGGCTGTAGAAGGCAGATGTTTCTTAATAGTCTGCTTCAAAAAAACCCATTTGAAATAGGAAAAAAAGGTAAAATCTTATTTCATAAGGACTCATAGTTTTATCCATAATCTCTTTCTTTTTTTACAGTTCCAAACACAACAGTACACTTACTCAGGGGTGGGAGGTTGTTAGTTAAAAATAATACAGCATCAGTTGAATGCTCCACAGAATTTAAAATTAAATGTCTGCAGAGATTCATTTGCTATCCTGCTTGCTATAAAGGTATATGGCTCTTGTGTGGGATCTTCTAATGATTTGAAATATTTCACTGCCCTCTCTTGGTGAGAGTTAAAACTGGTCTCTTTTTCACAAACCTTAACCCAAGAGCAAAATTAATTTTTCCTTTGGTGCAAGTTTTATTTACTAGGAAATCACAGCAAGTTGGAGTTGTGGGTTAATAAGTAACCATGAAGTTGTGATGGTTGTACTGTTTATTTCAGCTTGGAAGTTTGTGAGTGATCTCACTAGTATCTATGATGTGTAGACATATGTGTATAGGAATATTTATTTGTGTGGTTCAACCTTATGCAAACATCATGACAATATATCCTTTTCCATAATTATATAGAAATATTTTTAAAATACCTTAAACAAAGTCTGTATGTCTCATGAGCAGTGAAAAAGCTAATCACATTTTAGTTGTTTACTGGAATAATGAGCTAGTCACTGTTTTATTAAAACCCATCAATTTTAGACAAGCTGATTCAGGTGCATATGTTAACTAGCAATGTCCCTCTAAAACACGTAGAGGTAGGTACTGCCCTAGAAGGCAGTTCAAAACTGAAAGGTATCTGGGGATATTAGTTAGCTAATTTCACAGTTTAGTTTCAAAGCCTAGAAATATCTTTCCTCTTTCAAATCTCTGTAAAATGAAGATTAAGTTTTGCAAGCTCCGTGAGCTACCCTTGAACCAATGCTTCTTGCCTGATATTTGTGACCACTGAGAAGTCATACATGGAGCCTTAAACCATGACCGATTTCCTTACCGCATGCTTTTATGAAAGGTTTTGAGAAGCACATCACACAAATATGAGCTTCGATTTCTGTGCCATGATTAAATCTCATTAAATTAAATCAAGGATTATAGATAAATTTAAATCAGTTCTGTGTTTTACTTAAAAGTAATCAAGCAAACTCTTCAATTATAGCATCATTGGTTCAGAAAGGCTGTGAATTTATACTGCAGGAGGGACTATAATTTAGAAATGCCATGGATTCTGTATATACAGCTTGCAACTCCCAAAGGGATCATTTTTGATAAAAGCTATGTTTTACCATATATTTCAGGAGGTCTGTGTTATGGCAATATTTACGAAGGATTGAACAAGCGAAAATAAACCAACACATGTTTTGTCTTGTGCTAATGTGTTTTCTTCAAGCCAAAGAAGTTAAAAAAAAAAAAGAGAAATTTGGTACATGTCCAGAGTCACGTAAGCAGTTCAGAGTCTACTGATGAAGCACAGACCACAGACATGCTGTTTTGTACTGAGAAATATTAAAACACAATTCGCTGTTGTTGGTAGCATAGCAAAATTATTAATCCATGTTAGATGTTTTTATACGGAGCAATCACAACTTCTACCAAATGCAAATTTGGCAAGTGCCTCTGTTCCGGTTTGAAAGGACAGAGGTATAGACATGTAAGTGGTAGAAAGTTTGAGGTACACCAAGAGTGCAGCAACTTTCAAGGAAAAGGCTGAAGAGGATGCAAATTGTGATGGGAAGACAGGGAGAGCCTGCAGATGCTCACAAAGACAAGGGATTTGCACATTTACTGCCTGAAGTCGCTATTACCCTCCAAGTAACTCTTTGTTACTATGCAAGATGTCTTCCAAAAAAAGTTCGCTTTTTTCCTTTCCTGTCTAGCATTCGGTAGGCAGTACCATGACCTTACTTTTCACCAGAGGGTTATGAGGAACTCTACAGGTCATCCAGCCTATTGTTTTCTGTCCTGCTTGTGATCTACATCCAGCAGCAGGCCCTCTCTGAGGAGCAGGTGGGCTTTTCTGGCATGTGGCAATATCAGCAGGTCTAGCTTCATAATGAATGAAGGTCATTCTTTATATGAATTCTCTCGGCTCCCCAGCAGTTTAGCCAATAAATCTGCAAGGAGCTTCTGCAAATGTCACCTTGCAAGCTGCCTATACACTTTGGCAGGAAATTAGAAGGAGCAAAAACAATTCAAGAACCAGGTTGAGAGACTGTAGTTTTTTCATCAACCCTCATGGTCAAAGGGAAGGGGTTTGAAAGGACTAGTCGAATCTGGTGAATCAACAAATGGTTACAGGACTGGTGCACAGCCAGGGGTTTGGCTACAGGACCATGGGACTTGCTTTGAGAAACCTGGTCTTCTGGGGGCTGACAGGGTCCCGCTGTCAGGGAAGGGAAAAAGCATCATCAGTCATAGGCTTGCCAAGCTGGTGAAGAGGGCTTTTAAACTAAAGTTACCAGGGAAGGGGAACTTCAATCCACCCCACTCCTACCAGTTTGATGCCAGTGCCAGAAATAGATGCCCAGAGCCTGGAGAAGGAACACAAGTCAGCATGAGAGCACCTGAAGAGCAGCACAAAGGGATTCCAGCCACTCCAGCCAGTAAGTCAGCTCTGTCTGGGGCCCAGCTTAAATGCCTCTGTGCAAACACACATAGTATAGGTAATAAACAAGAGGAGTTAGACAAGTGCGTATGCCTGCAAGGCTATGATCTTATTGGCATAGAGACATGGTGGGACGGCTTCTATGACCAGAGCATTGGAATGGAAGAATACAGGATCTTTAGGAAGGACAGGCAGAGGAGATGAGGAGGAGGTGTCACCCTTTATGTTGATGAGCAACTGGAGTGCATGGAGCTCCACCTGGGGATGGATGAGCAGGTGAGCCAGTGTTTATGGGTCAGAATTAAAGGGAGGGCAGGAAAAGGTGACATTATAGTGGAGGTCTTTTACAGGCCACCTGACCACAAAGACCAAGTGGATGAGGCCCTCTATAGACAGATAGGAACAGCCTCACATTCACAAGCCCTGGTCCCCATGTGGGACTTCAACCACCCCTATATCTGTTGGAGAGACAACACAACAGGGCATAAATCCAGGAGGTTCCTAGAATGCATTGATGATAACTTCCTTCTCAAAGTGTTAGAGGAGCCAATGAGGAGAGGTGCTATGCTGGACCCGGTTCTCACCAGCAAAGAGGGGCTGGTGGGAAATGTGAAGCTCAAGAGTAACCTTGGCTGCAGTGACCATGAAAAGGTGGAATTCAAGATCCTTAGGGCAGCAAGGAGGGTGCACAGCAAGCTCACTACCCTGTCCTTCAGGAGAGCAGACCTTGACCTCTTCAGGCATCTGCTTGATGGAGTACTATGGGATCCAGACCTGGAGGGAAGAGGGACCCAAGAAAGCTGGTTAGTATTCAGGGGTCACCTCCTCCAAGCTCAGGAGCAATGCATCCCAATGAAAAGGTAGTCAGGCAAAAATGCCAGGAGGCCTGCATGGATGAACAAGGAGCTCAATATTCACCAGCAAGTACTGAAGCCACACTGCCTAAGTTGCAGAAGGCAAAGGCAGGGACTGGGAGAATGAAGAACTGCCCACTATAGAAGATCAAGTTCAAGACCATCTAAGGAGGCTGAAGGTGCACAAGTCCATGGGACCTGATGAGGTGCATCCGCAGGTCCTGAGGAAACTGATGAAGGAAGTTGCTAATCCACTATCCAACATATTTGAGAAGCTGTGGCAGCCTTGTGAGGTTCCCACAGACTGGAAAAGGGGAAACATAACCCCCATTTTTAAAAAGGGAAAAAAGGAAGACCTGGGGGACTACAGGCCAGTGAGTCTCATCTCTCTGCCTGGCAAGATCATGGAGTAGATCCTCCTGGAAACTATGTTAAGATACATGGAAAATAAGGAGGTGATTGGTGACAGCCAGCACGGCTTCAATAAGGGCAAATCATGCCTGACAAATCTGGTGGCCTTCTACGATGGGGATTACAGCTTTGGTGTATAAAGGAAGAGCAACTGACATCATCTACCTGGACTTGTGCAAAGCATTTGACAGTGTACCACATGACATCCTTGTCTCTAAATTGGAGAGACATGGGTTTGACAGATGGACCACTTGGTGGATAAGGAACTTGCTGGTTGGTTGCACTAAAAGAGTCGCGGTCAATAGCTTGGTGTCCAAGTGGAGACTAGTGACAAGTTGAAACCAACCCTGTTCAACATCTTTGTTAATGATCTGAATGATGGTAAATTGAGTACACCCTCAGCAAGTTTGCTGATGATGCCAAGCTGAGTGGTGCAGATGACATGCAGGAGGGAAGGGATGCCATCCAGAGGGACCTGGACAAGCTCTACTAGTGGGCCCGTGTGAACCTCATGAGGTTCAACAAGGCCAAGTGCAGGGTCCTGCACTTGAGTTGGGGCAACCTGCAGTATCAATACAAGCTGGGGATTGAAGGGATCAAGAGCAGCTGTGCCGAGAAGGACTTGGGGGTCCCGGTGGATGAAAAGCTGGGCATGAGCCAGCAATGTGCACTCACAGCCCAGAAGGTCAACTGTATCCTGGGCTGATCAAGAGAAGTGTGACTAGCAGGTCAAGGGAGGTGATTCTGCCCCTCTACTCTGCTGTGGTGAGACCTCACCTGCAGTGTTGCATCCAGCTCTGGAGCCCTCAGCACAGGAAGGGCATGGACTTCTTGGAGTGGTTCCAGAGAGCCACAGAAATGATCAGAGGGAAGGGACAGCTCTCTTCTGAGGACAGGCTGAGAGAGTTGGGGTTGTTGTTCAGCTTGGAGAAGAGAAGGCTCCGGGGAGACTTGGACTGGGCTCAGAGCAACGTGATGTGGTTGAAGATATCCCTGCTCATTGCAGGGGGGCTGGGCTAGATGACCTTTAAAGGTCCCTCCCAGCCCAAACTATTCAATGCTCATATGACATCTTCAGATGCCTCACTGTATGAAAGCTGGTGTGGTATGTTGGAAAAAACAAAGAGAAACTCTAGCCCCCAGACTCAAAGATTGCATGGAGTGAGTTTCACTCCTTGAGGTAATAATTAACTTTGCTCTCCACCTGCATGTTTCCTCCAGTGAAGATATATGGTGTGCAGAGAGCATGCTCAGTGCAGTCCTGTAAAGCTTTCTGCTCGTTTCAGCTGCTTTGGGGTTTGTGCCTCTCTTCATGCAGCTCTTCATGATCTAAGGGCCTGGGCACAAGCACTTCATTTGAACTATTCCTATGGGAGCTGTCTGAAGTGATCTCAGAGGTGCCCCTCCTGACTCCTGTCCCACACTTATTCAGGCAGGGGGACAAAAGGATGAGGTCAGTTAATCACCATGACTATCTCTCACAAGGTCTGGTGCAAGCCCTTTCATCTCCTTCTGCATTTGGTCTGCAGGAGCAGAGCTTGCTGCCAACAGTCTGCCTATATATAGTTTGTGGCATTTAAAATGTCAGTGAAATACCTTTAAGAAATAAATGTTTTCAGACAGAAATGTGGTTGTTAGGGGAGCAGTATGCTTTTCTTCTTCCAATTTTAATTTCAAAATCCTGCAAGTTCAATTACATTTGAGTTTACAGAGAGCAGGTGATAGGGGAAATAAGTTCAACCTATTTTTTAAATCTACATTTAATTTGAGGTCCTGAATTAATGTGTAATGTAAACTACATTTTGGAAGTTTACTGGCTTTTCAATGCAAACGTGTTTTCCTTTTCTGAATATCACTGCTTACCCCCACTCCATTTTGTTACTCAGAAAGTGTTCTGAGTTAGGGTTAGGACCATACATTTTGGAGATATTTAGTAAGACTGTTGAAGGTTTTTTCATAGAAAGAGGTTTAATACTAGGCACTGTGTTGAAATAAATGTGTAAATGTTGTAAAAATTACTACCCACCTACTGTTATGTGATGGACCAGGTCTACATGATTACAAGTGAGCATCTGAAAATAAGATTGGGGAGTTTGGAGGTATATATATGCCTCCATTTTGTAACTTCTCTCTTTAAAAAAGCTACTATGAAACTTCATGGTTTTGAGAGTGAGTTTTTGAAGCTCCCTAGACAATACAGGGAAAACTTTACAACTTCTGTTCAAATGATATGTCATCTGCAGCTTGTGAGGCTGATGTTTGCTAGTGGCTCACCACAATGGTGCTACTGTGCTGTCAATGAGTAATTGTGCCATTATAAGGCAAAACCCAGAATATCTTCCTGAATTTCACAGCCTACTTAACAGCAAAAATCATTTGAACGGCTGTAATTATCAGACGAATCCTTCACTCCTGTTGATGCTGAGAAGAGAGAACCCATGTGCTCGCTGCTGGACCGTCTCTGTCTTTCGGAGCGGCAGCTTGATTGCACTTCCCTTCTCAAGGGCCTTCGTCAGACTGTCTATATTGATTTGCATTAAAAATGCATTGTGCTTAGCAGAGATTCGCAGCATGATCTGTGAACATATCATAGCTTCTAATCAATCCCATTCTTGTCCTTCTATTGCATTATAATTTCTGTGCAGCTTAATGCCTTGATAGAAATAGGTTTTTTGCTTATTATTCTTCTTTTTAAGGAACTCCGCTTGATTGCCTGAACCATCTTGCCTGATAATTAGCTGTTACCTGTTAAGTCTGTTGTGACGTATAGTAAAACCTTGGATAAGTGGCAAAGAGGGCCAGCTATACAACTTCATCATTCATGGGTTGTAAAGACAGGGCAACACATCTGCTGTATAGCAACAGAGAACTGGAAAATTTGTAAGTCTAAAATATGGGGTTAGTATCTACACAGTAGTATCAGAGGCAAGGAGGTACCAAATAGTGTAAGCAACATCCTCAGCACCAGGATGAGGTACTACTCCAGCCTGGAATGGAGACATTTCCTTGTTGTACTTTGATTGTTGTACATTGAAGACAATGAGAGTTTGGAAATTCCTTGGGTAGCGTAGACTTCATGCTTCTGAAATTCACAATATGAACTTTAGTGCACCAGACCCATGTGTATCATGGTTTCTTTATTGATATCTGCAACCGGTTTTATATATATATAAACACACAAATAGATAAGATTATCTCTTCATATTCCTTGGCCTTAATGTTTATAGCCCTTGATATTTATTCACCATGTGAATATACTTTTATGTATTTTTATTCTGACTTGAAAAAGAAATTGCCTCTATTTTAGTGTAATGCATGTTTATTAAGTCCTAACATTGCATCTCTCTCTTTCACATTTCTTTTTTTACTTCATTTCTCTGCCTGCTAGGCTGTCACTAAATGCAGAACTGCTTTTAAATGCATCATTGGTACGCACATTGGAGTCCCCATGGTAATATATCATTAGAAAGACGCCAGGAAATGGGTTCTCAAATAGTTAACTCTAAATAGGTGGGGATAATGAAGCAAAGGGAGGAGCTTGAACTGGAGCATGACACTAATTGTTCCCCAGAAGGTCTGTAGCTTCTTGAAACAAGTGACTCCCTCAAGCCCCTTATGAATTTGCATGTACAGAATGCGAATAGTTTTATGAGAATGAATTTAAGGTGCTTTTCTGTCTTGTCATTTATATCCCCTCCACTCCCAACATCAGCAATTGGATTTATCTTGAATTAGAGTAACCTCTGGTTTGAGGGTTACAAAAACTGTCTCAAATGACAAATTCTGCAAATTTTACCGAATCAAACATGCTTTATAAGATATTTTCAGTTTCATTTTCAACATGCATTGTACTTGGATATATTCCTACACTAAAATTTAAAGTTGCCTGCAAATTTACCACCTTGGACATCTGCATTAGAAGCCAGACAGCTATAATCC